CCGGCGACGGGCGGCGGCGCTAGGTGAAGAGAGGTCGGTGGCGGGTGGCGCCGGCGGCGGAGCTGGGTGAGGAGAAGCAGGCCGCGCTCGGGGCGAGAAAAGCAGGCTGGTGGATTAGGTTTTTTTTTAGTGTCTATATTCATCAGCTAGCCCATTTGATTCGGGCATCAGTCAGATTCTCATTTTACAACCCAGCAGCGTGTACCGCTGTGAATTCTCTTACTTGGAAGAGCCAAGTAGGAGACGCTAGACAACCAACAATCCCTCCTTCTCTCGAAGCGCCAGAATCTAAGCGGTTTTGTTTTCGTCTCTTGCGTGGCGGTTGGTTTTGTAGCGATTTCTTGGACGACTCCATCCGCGCCCTAGGGTTTCTTCACCGGAGATCCAACTGCCGCTGGAGATTGATGTTTCTAGACGCGCCAACTGCGGTCCTCGGGATCGTGTGAGTTATGAGAGTTGGCGATCCATTCGCTAGTTCCGCTAGTTTTAGACTCCACATCCACAAACCCTAGTCACCATAAATTCTTTTGTACGATCTAGGGCGTACAGTCGTAATACACATATTCTTTCCTAGACAGGTGATTGGGGGTAACAAGGAAGATGGCGTGCATGGACAGGGTGGAGGGGCTGATGAAGAAACTCAAATTGTCGAAGGCGAAGAAGAAAAGAGTCAAGATTGGATGGACCGGAGGAGGAAATGGAGGAGCGGTGGAACCGCAAGCACTCAGCAAACTACTCTCCGAGAAGCCAACATTTGCGGACGGAATTGTTGCGGCGTTGGGACAAGCTTGGTGCCCGGTGCGCGGGTGGACTTTAAGGGTCTCAGTGATAACATATTTCTGTTCACATTCCATAGTTCGGGGAAGAGGGAGGCCTTGGAGGAGGGATCGTGTTTGTTCAATAATGATGCATTGGTGATGGAAGATTTTGACGTCCGCAAACGGATCGAGGGATATGAATTCGACACCATTCCTATATGTCATGAGGTTGTTTAATATACCCCTAGGACTAATGAGTAGACAGACCGCGGAGGCCATTGGGAATGAGATTGGAGAGGTGATGGAAGTGGACGTAGGAGAAGATGGGATGGTAGTTGGTCAGTTAATGAGAATTAAGGTGCGGATAAGAATGGATGAACCATTAATGAGAGGACTAAAGCTGGATCTCAAGAAAGATGATAAGCAGAATAGGGAAAGTAAGGGAGGAAAGAAGGAGGGGGGAGAGGATTAGTGACGCTTTGAGTATGAATTTTTGCCAACCTTTTGTTACAAATGTGGTATTATTGGGCACACTAGTGGAAGCTATGGGTTCAAATTGAAGAAAGGGGCGAAGGCTCAATACATCAGGTAGCTAAAATGCCCAATGGTGGGGAGAGGGAGTGGGGGTATGGAAAGGGATTCATGGAGCAGCAATAGTGGGCCATAGCAAGACGATCTGGAAGTTTCGGCATTAAGGACAATGCATGGTGGAGGCGGTGATAGTCAGAGCTGGCATTCTGGATCAAATTCGCAAAAGGAACAAGAGGGAGCGGGAAAGAAGGGAGAGGAAAAGGAAGTGACGAGCCCCCTTAAGCTATCTGCAGGTGGATGACAAAATGTCTCGGAGAGTGCTAAGTAGAAAAAAATAGATTTTAACAAGGGAGCAGACGGGAACTCATGTATGGAAGGGAGACAAGAGGCAATAAATTTACAAAAATAGAAGGGAGGCATGGGGAAGGAGGAGGGGAGTGGAAAAGTTGTAGTGGGGCTGATAGGTGGTGACCCAAATGCAGGACGCGGCTCAGCTCTCGAGGCCGTGCATTATGAACCCGTTCACATAGGGGGGAAGAAGGGAGGAGACGGTGGAGGGGATAAGGGAGTGGAAATTCACGGGGGGGATAGAGTGAACCCGGGCGATCATACAAAGCTGGATGTGCAGGTGGGCGTGAAAAGAGGAGGAGACTGGTATGTCTCCATCGTATATACTTTTCCAAACATGTTTGCTCTTGTTTTGCCCCCCCCCCAATTTGCATGATTTGAGTGAAACTAACCCGGACTGACAGTGTTTTCAGCAGAACTACCATGTTGTTGTTTTTTGTGCAGAAATAAAAATTCTCGAAGTTGGACGAAAAATTACGAAGAATTGTTTTGGAATAAATGAAAATTACTAGAACTATAATCCGTCGGAGAAACGCCAGGGGGTGGCCACATGGGTTGGTGGCGCGGCCACC